GCATGATGTAATCCACGTGTGGAGATGAGATGTCTACGACTTGGTAGACTGAGAACACAAATTTTATTTATGAATAACACACATGCTGAAGAAGACCCGAGGACGGGTTGAAATATTCATGTTTTGAATAAAATAATATATATATAAGTTTCTTTTGATTCAATTGAAATTTCAGGTATTCTGACATCATCATCCGCTGAAATATACGAGGTCGACCGGTTGAAACACGATGTCTGACAAAACGAAATATAAGGGTCTGGCAACTAGTGAGAAGACTACCGATGGAATTTGTAAGACAACAAGCAAAGTAACATATTTAATTAACACAATTATATTAGGCCTAATCCTTTGCGTAGTTTCCACGTCAGTGGTGTGCATTTAATTACGAAAGCAGATAATGAAGAATCATATGTTAAAATCATCCGAGAGATCCGTTTTTTTTAAGTAAACCATAGGCCTATGCCTAATTGTGGTGGTGTTTTGTTTTGTTTGTTTGTTTTTTTTTACACCAAACCTCTTTGTGTACACATATCGTCATATATTATCCCTAAAAAAGAGCTAATATAGGCCTAGGTTACTGTCTGAGTCCCGAGGCAGTAGGCCTATCTACCGAAGTGTTGTATTTTATTGACGAAATTGATAATAACGATAAGCTCGTTCACGCGATGAATGTTCAACGAGGTACTGATTTTAGGTTTTAAAAAAAAAAGCCTAATATAAAACTGAAAAAACTAAACGGGAGGGAACCATGATTAACAACTTACAATAAATAGGCATTACTAAATCCTAATTTTCGCATTAATAATACAGTGTATTAATAATAATAATTAAAAAATAACATGATTATAGCAGCTATAGGCATACGTTTAGTACCGCTAGTGGATTCTCGTTTAACCAATTAATGGTTGAGGCATGATATTACCTGAGACAACTATACACGTGTATAGTTGTCTCAGACTAGTCTCCGATCTCAGCTCAGATATTACACAGCGCCCACTTGCCACAGACGCGTCTACTTCAGTAAGACTTACTGTATTGTAGTGTCCCGCTCACTTTCAAAGTTACGACTTTCTAATTTACATCCACTTTATATTTTAAGACAATAATCGAATTTTATGTACAAATTATTTATAGTAAGTAATATACTTTTTCTCGATTAAGCAATCATCATCATAATTATCCTTCATTCAGAATAACAATTGCCCTCTATTTTAATCGACGCGACCGAAGACTTTTTAGCTAATCAGAAAGTCTGAACACTCTTGTCGGCTCTGTGGTGGCATTCAACTCAACACAAAAAGTCGATATACTTATTTTGAGACTTGTTGAGCATATGTTAAAGGCGGAGGTACAGAGAGTGACGATCTATAAGAGTTAAGAGGCTTGTTTATTTGGTATGTCTATACATAATCGATAAAAAAGTAATATTGAAAATATATATATATATATTTATATATATATATATTTGGTTGGTTTTCTTCCACACCCTTCCTCTCAGGCCCTACTCAGTATTACTGGTTGCGTGGTCTTGTACACCAATCCACCATGGTCCATACCATACGGTTCTGACATGAAGTAGTCAACAAGCATAAATGTTCGTAGGCCTAAGGCCTATACAAGCCTCCTACTAATATTCTATTCCTTTTATGATCATTTCAGCTCGTCAAGATCGAAAATCGAAAATGGCTTGGAGTCGTGGAAAGTTTGGTATTATATTGGCCTGTTTACAACTTCTGTTCATAATTCTATTTGTTGTTTTCATTGAATATGATGAGGAAGCAGACGCCGCCAAATTACATTCAGTATCAAGTCTTGAAAATTACTACCCAAGTAAGTTTTGTATGGTTTATAATATATTCGTTGATAGAATCAAATCGAATGTACAGCACTGTTCAAAAAAAATTAGAAAACACAGTAAACCATTACTGAGTATAGCTCATAAAATCTCATGTGACCTAGGTACCTGGTTCCAGTTTTAAGATTTAGTTTATTAAACTTTATTTAGTAAAATTTAGTATATTAAACTGAATTCAACTGACCATTTGGCATTCTCAGATCGAGATCCTCCATCCGCTTATCAACTGGAGCATGGATGTAGGAAGTGTCAGCAGTAGTTTTAAAAGGTGTGGAATACTTAGCATATCCCCCCCCCCCCCCCGTTGGGGAAGACGAGCAATTTTTGTCAGGGAATAAACAAATTTACGAAAATGATTTACATGTAATGTTCATTTAGCCACCATATTGCTTTCATTGAACTAATTGTCTTAACTTTTCATCACAATAATAATAACAATAATAATAATTATAATAGTTCAGTGAGACTAATAAAAAATTATTTGACAAATGCTCGTTTTGGATAGCCTCATGATGCTTGGAATACATTGTGATAGGGGAAGCAACCTTGTCCTTGACAGCGTGGTTGACAGATTTCATGCAAAATTTCCAAAATTTAGAATATCACTTTGAAGAATGAGGATTTGAAAATGAATTAGATGGTTACATTGCATACTCTTTGTTTCTTGTTTTATTCAAATGTTTTGGTTTTGGAAGCTGATTTCGACATTAGAAAACAAAGCCTACATGAAGTCATATTATAATAAATATTTGTAATAAAAATTTGTCATAATTTGTCAAATATCTGTGGCTTCTAGGGGACCCCCTACCGGGGCCCTAGGCAGCCCCTGGCCCCAGCCCCCCGTCGGGGCCTTTAGCTCCTCCGTCGGGCAGATCCTGGCGCCATCACTGACTTTCCCTGTAATAAGGGTGTTCCCTAAAAAGATGTGTTACTGGCTTTTTAATTTTTTTATTGATTGGTGTGTATACAAAAATATCATTCAACAAAAATATAACTTCAGTGCAAAAATAGGTTTTTAACATTTTATAACTAAAACAATACAATAGCAATCCATCACACACATAATGCCATCACACTGATTTGTAAAGGTGGACTATATTGTTGTAGCTTCACCTTTACTGCAGCTATAGTACTAAGGTAATACACTGTAGCTGATTCAGTATATTCTACAGTCATTCGACAATAGTTATTTTTAGACTAAAAAGTATATCCAAGTTCTCCAGGGCCAATAGTTAAAAAAAAACTTGTGAAATAAAAGATTAAGGTTATCTGATTGACTCCAGTTGAACTCCAGACAAAGCAACTAGAGCATAAAGACAAAAAGTCATACTTCATATTAAAATGCACTAATACAGTGCAATAGAGCAGTGTAAAAATTATTGTTATTGATTAAGAAAGCTTTTTTTAAATACACCATATATGGTTTTGTAAAGGTTAGTTGACACAATCTTGGCTTCAAAAGCTTAACAAAACTTAAAAGTAGTAGTGCAAATATGTGCTTCAAATAGAAAATATATCAAAATGAAATATTAGGTAAATCTTCCTGAATCAAATAATAAAGGAATGTTCCTCATTATACTTCTGCAAATACCTTAAATTAATGATGAATTCAGATAATATGATTAAAGAATGTTTAACCAAATAAATATAAACGAAGTATTAAATTTAGAAATTATGGTTAAAGAGGAGTATTTGGCCAGAATATGACAGAATAATAATAAGCAAGTTGCCTTTGGAGTCATATGGACATTATTAGTTGGTCACAAACAGATACTACTGTAGATAGAGAACAGATGAACAATTATAATATAGGATAAAACAATTATAATATAGGGTAAACCTTACTTAAATATTTTAAGGACTTCATGGCTTAAACACTCCAAAAACTTGTTTAATTACTTAATATTTCAAGAACTTTTTATCTAATTTCAAACCGAATTGCTCTTTTCATTTAAACTAGGTTGATTTGGAGTCGGAGTAAAATATAGTTTAGCTACTACTGTACTATCTCATTGGCGGATCTGAGTGGGGGGTCAGGGGGTCCTGACCCTCCGCCTTGGAACAACATCAGTGAATTATCATTGTACTCGCACAGTATATACACATATATATATATTGTTTTTCTAGTGTCTACCTTCAGAATTATTCAAAACAAGTGGCTTGATGAGTATCATTTTACCTATATTGATTTTATAGTAGACTTACAGTATAGCACATTATGCTGAGGCCTTCCTACGCTTCACATTATTATTACTACGGTCATAGGATTCAACACTGGGTCACATTAGCTCCTAGGGGAGTAGTCCATAAAATGACAGCAGTCAATCAGAGGAATTAGCGTTCTAACCCTACCAGGTACCCATACTCTTTTTGTGCAGGAATACATTGTGGATAATGTGCTTTGTCCAAGGACACAAGCGAAATGTGCGAATCCACAGCAAGGATTCACCAATTGCTCCAAAAATTTCTTATTATTTCTATGATTCCTGAGATTCAGTTGCCTATGAAATACCAATGTTTATTGGGGAATTGCAGACACATGCATGGATACATTCATGGTATGTGAATAAAAATGATATGCTTGTCTCTACTACTACAACAACATTAGTATATACCTAATTTGAAAGCAATTACCACAATTATTTTGGTTCAGAAAGTCCACTTTTGTCTGGTAATACATTAGGTGTAAGTGTACATGCCCATTGGAGAATTTTACTGAATTTGTTTGGTTTCTACTAAATAAACAGGTAATCACTTTAAAGAGACTGAACACTTTGTTATAAGAAGGTGTAAAGAACAGTATGAAAACATGCTATTTCTAGTGTACAACAGCATGGTGCTGTCAGTCACTGTTTATGTAGAGCTAACATAGACTATGTAAGGCATATTTAATAGTAATAATAATAAATTTTATAATAATAATAATAATAATAAATTTTGATAATAATATTAGGCCATATTAATTTAATTGTTTGTCTCCAAAGCTCTCCTATTCAAAAAATGGAATGCGGAATGCAGTGTTATTTTTAATTTTTTTTTTTAAATATGTTTTAATAAAAATAATTTTATTGTTGAATTGGGTTTTAAAAGGTCTGTTGGAGGGCTCATGTTAAAGGCTAAAGGAGGTTACAATCAATTCGAGTGAGACATATATTTTTCTTTAAAAAAAAATGTTTCTTCTTCAGTTCTTAGGCGAGAACAAAACACCTGAATTTACTAATGCGCACAGAAGCTTTGAGACAAACAATTAAATTAATATGGCCTTATACTTAATTATATTTTTAATAATTAAATACACCACAAGTCGTTTAATTATACAACAAACTGTAATAAGAAGTATATTTTAAAAACCAGTAAAACTTGCAACACACAATTGTGAATACCTGTGTTTACAAGGCAGTTTTGAATGTGTTATAATGAAAATTATAAAAAGAAAAGATAATCTCAGATAAGGACTCTTCTATACTTCAATAAAGTGCACATTCCTGTGTACCTTTTGTAAACATAATACAATACCAGCTTAGTTAGCAGTTTAACCAATAGACTAAACATATACCTGTATCTAAATTTAAAAAAATTATATTCTTGTTTACATTATTCTTTGATGAGAACTATTGTGGAATTTTCTTCATCCATGACCAGCAACTGTCACTCAGTTGTTTAAACAAAACATCATAAAATTGAGTCCTGATTTCTAATTTTTAAGTTAAATCCTTTGCTATGCTGGTTGTAAAAATAGTAGAGAGAATCATCATTAACAGCAGATTTGTTTCTATAATAACATTCTTAATTTTAGGAATATTTTTTTATTAAAGTAAAACTGAAATAATTTTATTCATGTCTTTTCATATCATACCAAATGGATGGTTTTGAGCAAATAATAACAAGGAGTTTCAAACTATAAATTAAACAAAAAAAAAATTTTTTGGTTTAATGTTTTGTTATTGACTATATTTGCTGGTATTTATACTGTGTTTACAATATACACCAAAGTATAAAAACAAGTCCCCATATGCTTAGTCAAGGCCTTTACTATTAGCAAGAGTGCTATTTGGTCTCTCCAGGGCTAGAGGCAGTTGGTCTTTTCATTTATTTTTTGTTCGTTTTTGTCAATGTTTGTTCATGTAATGTTTTGAAATCTTTTGTATGCCCAAACTATTATAAAAACTATTATAAATTTAAAAAAAAGAATAATCGTATTTTATATAATGCACAAAACACAGCTAAACACAACTGTGCACCAGTTTTACTAATACTAATAGCAGTGAAGTGCAACACTTGTGATTCCATGCATTGAACTATCAATATCAAAGAAAGTTTAATGCTGAGCTTAATTTCTGAGCTCTTGGATGAATACTTGATAATAGGATTTTGATGTATTGTACCTCATTGCTTTATGGTGCAACCTTTGTTATGGATTAACTTTGAATTACTTAGTTCTTTTTTAGATAAACTTGTATTCTTGTTCGTTATCAGATTCTATTATTGCGTTTTTGAGCTTTACAGTACAAAGAGTTGATACCATTTAGTTTTATATCTGGATTATTATTAAAGCCCCACTGTCATTTTGAATGAGTTATTTTTCATATGAGCTACCCTTGTTGGCCCCTTTGCTGTACTGCAAAATACTATATATATTGATAGCACAATATAATGTATTCGCCTATAAACAGGTCAAAAAGAGACAAAATAAGTCAATTTTATAAATTTCAGCGGGCTGCTATTAATCCCATCATGCATCACTCGTGGATTGATAATTTGTGTCGATTTTTGTTAAGCGCCTCGGTACGGGGTAATCTTATGCTTCACATGTATGTACACACAAAGGGATACATAAATTGTCAACTTACTGAAAGTATGACTTTTTTGGGAAATTTGCAGATAGTGGGTCTTTAATAGCATTTTTTAAAAACCAGTATATAGGTGATTTAAATTTGTATTGTTTTTTTTTTTTTTTTGAAGAGGATATAGGTATTGGTCAATTTGTAAATTGTTTTTTAAGCCAGTGAGAGCTCATAGCCATTACGCCACTGGTCTTACCTTTGCATTTGTTTGTATACTGTAGTGTTTAGTATTTTTTGCTCTCTTTTGTTGTCACTGGCCAGTTGCTGTCAAGTTAACAGTTGTGACTAACCCAGGGGTGGGCATAAAAATTGGTTGGAGGTCCAAAGTGAATTTTTGATTTTGATTTGACCAAGGGCCGCACCCAATCTTTGATGTTTCCAGTGTGCTTCCAAAAACCTTAAAGCAATGCTTTTACACCACTCTATTCCCAGTTTTAATATTACTTTTTACAGTTGATCGGTGTTGGGCTGTAAAAAAACAAGGTCTGCTTGGCGGGCCGCACACATAGATTACCACAGTCGTGTCGTCACAAAGCCAGGTGGCGCCTTCTGTCGCCAACCCGACGTTGGTTACCGTTCATTACGCCTGAATGACTTCATAGGCTTTCTGGAATAGGCATTTTAAAATCTAATATTTTACTATCAAAATATACTAAAAACACAAAAGCTCGCATTATATTAGTTATCGAACACACATTTAATCATGAATTACAAAGAAAAACTAAGATACAACATTTTTATAATTACGTTAGAAATTGGGATCAATGGTTTGTCAGTGGAGAAAATGGCAAAATTTTGCAACCATAGCAACAGAGTAGTTTCACAGGGTATCGTGACGTGACACTATAGTACTCTATAGGGTTTTTAATTCATTTTCGAGGGCCACAGATGAATCGCTGTCGGGCCGCATGCTGCCCACGGCCAGCAGTTTTCACACTGTGGTCTAACCCATGGCATACAAGCGCTTTTAAAGCCAGTAGCATGCAACAAATACCTTGTACCGTAGGGTATTCGGTTTTACATTGTTGTCTTTTCTATCCAGTAGCAGATTCCAGGGGGGGGGGGGGGGGGGGGGGGGGGGGGTGGAGCCATCAATTTTACAAAATTCTTAAAAAACAGGAAAAAAAAGAAAATTAGGCCACTGTCAACGTCCTTTACTGGGCCCCCTCTATTTCAAATTATTGGATCTGCCACTGCTATCTAATGTATTTTTAGAGCAAAAAAACTTTCTTTAAAGCTACGGGTGCATAAAGTTCTCTTCTATTACAAATTGTTGACACGTAACTAAGAGGGAGTAGGCAGGATTCTTTATATCTATACTGACATATTTTAACTGTGTTTCTTTTAGAATATTGTGTACCATTGTTTACAAGATCAGTCTTCCACAAATCACTGTACTAGGCAAAAGCTTAAATTTCTCTAAATCTAGGTGTTATTTGCTCGAATAAACATAAAAAAAAATAAAACTTCACCTAACAAAAATTCTGGGTTTTATTTACTGTTGTCCGTAAGAAATAACTTAATTTACATTCTTATGAAAATGAGGATGTGTGATATCTGTGTTTCCTTGCTGTCCATTTTCTGAATTGTTTCCCGACATTTGTTTTGTCGTTCTCAGGGTCAAACTTGGGAAATAACGGTAAGGTATAGGTAGAACATACTTGCTGTGGCAGAGGAGTGGCGAATACACCCCCCCCCCACTTTCCAGCACACACTGGCCCAAATGCCATAAGAAAGACAGATGGGCACTCCTGTCTGTGAGCCCAGAGCTTTTTATAATCTTATTTTGATTCTTGCTAAGTGAAGTGATGATATACAAGGGTGTTGGAAGCGGTCGGGCTGGTCCAGTTTTGGCCGGTCCAATAATTTACAACTCAATATCGTTTGTAAGCCAAATTCTACTTTCTCTGACACAATCAAACATAACCTACACATTCAAATTTGGAGGGGGCAGGCTGGGACCTCCCTCTAACCTGCCACTTCCCAGTGGTGAAACTAGGTTCCGATGGGCCCTTTTTCGAGAGTGCAGTCATCACACAGGTTAAGAATGCTATATCTAGAAAAATAATGACCAAATCACAATTAGTTTTTAAAATAATAATAATAGTATATAATGCAACATGAATAACAATGACTATAGGTCTATTATATTTTATTATATACAAGTTGACGGATGTTGTGAAATATATAAAAAAAGATTCTAGATTCAAGAGCACTTTATTGTCCATTTTGAAATAGGAATTTGTTTTCCCTTTGCAACAGTCTTGGTTAAGAAGGATAAAATTACATTAAAAATCTCACGACAAAACAACTTGGCAATGACGAGAAATACGTTAAGATATTAACAAGGTAAAATAGTAAAGTAGTAAAAAGTCAAAATAAAAATCAATGTTTAAAACTGTTTAAAATTTACTATGTCTATCTCAGAAACAGACCAGCCATTTTAGTAAAGATTAAAACTATAAAAACCTAGCATTTTGCTACAAAATAATGACAACATGCTAATTAAATAAAACATGTGTTATGTATACACAGGATAAAGTACGCATATTCCTCCATGAATAAATGAATATGCAAGAAACAGGAACAAAATTACTGTATATAATGCAATATGAATAACAATGAATATGCGCCTATTATATTTATACGAGGTGACAGATATTGTGAAGTACATAGCCTATAAAAAGATGTAGCCTAAATGTGTTATGAATATACAGGGACACAGGGTACAATATGCTATGGATTATTTAGTAAACCTATTAAATGTCTTTTGAATTAAGCTAGGTGAATATGTTAGATTTTCAAATAACAGACTGCTAGTATAATTTTTAGTATTATTATTTAGTAAAGTGTTGGTTTATTAATGGCAGGAGGACCATGTATGTAGGTATTCCCATCATATGGACAGATCTACCAGGTGATAAGTACTCAATAGAGCAATAAGAATCAGGGGCATCAAATTTGGGTGGAAGGTCAATATTAGAATAAGGTACTGTACATTTCTACAGGGGTTCTACTCAGGCCCTACAACAGTCCCGGTCAGGGTGGTAGGACAAACGCCAGGGAAAATCAGCAATTTTTATTAACTGATAGATAGGCCTACTTATTAATTAATCCAACTGATCAATTTACACTTTTTCACTAAAAAAATTACTATGACATGGCCCAGGCCGCCCAATATACATGCGTACAACCCGTAGCTGAGATATGGCCCTGGTTCGAGACAAATACGTGTCAATTCTTTTAGAGTATTTTTGCAACATACTAGCAGGCCGTATGGTAATACATCGGCTAGTGTAAAACATCATTTTTAAATATATCATTTCTACTGTTAAAGCAATGTTTAACTACTATTACTTGTACGTACGTTAATATTTATGAAATTCCATGGTGACAAATATAAATGATAAAGCATGAATGGTTAAATGATATATTTAGTACAATGAATGATTGATATAATACTGTAGAATACTGCGCGTTTTGAGCTATAGACAAAGACAAAACTAATAAAAAGAAGTCGTGTTAATGCAATGATGATTATGTATATTTGGCCGGAAAAATAAAAATAGCTTCCGACGCCCATGGTATGATTGTTCATAATGGTTATCAACATTATGATTGTTCATAATGGTTATCAATATTATGATTGTTCATAATGGTTATCAATATTTTTAATTGGTTTAACTTTCCTCCTAACAGTGTTCCAAGATGTCCATGTGATGATTTTTATTGGTTTTGGATTTCTGATGACATTTTTGAAGAGATATGGGTTTGGCAGCATTTCATTCAATTTCTTGATCTCTGCATTTGTGATTCAGTGGGCAACAATCATGGAAGCTTTCTTCTGGCTTGAAGATGGAAAATTTCATGTTGGTGCAGAACAGTAAGTACCTGGTAACATTGAATACTGCCTGTGGTAAAACTATAAAAAATAAAAATTACATACTCTTTGTGACCATCCTGGAACAAAAAATTGTTGCCTGTTCAAGCATCTAACAGCAGTACATGGTTTTGAGTAAAAGGGTATGCTCACACACACGGCGTAAGGCTGGCGTAGCATAGGCCTTTGTGTGTGAACTAGGCAGTGGTGTTACTTACACCACTCGCAACACCACCTCCGTGGCATTATTAATGCTACCTGCAGACCCCAGATTAGTTAACGCCACGTCGGAGCTAATGCCAGTGATGTTTGAAGAGATTGACCAATCACGATTACAATAGATTAGTTACTTTCCTACCTTTCCTGTGCTCTCTATAAATGAAATGGTAAAGGATTCATTTTCCATTGCATTTACTTAGTTTACTATGTATATTATGATTTCTTGATTGTGTTTTGTAAGATATTTTAACCTATTTCGACTGTCTAAACCTGCAACACTAACAATTGTTCCACAATCCCAGCTAAAAAATCAGAAGTAAAATTGTTCATACAGTAATCCTTATAAGTTCACATCCAACAATTCACAGATTTAAAAGTTTATGATGCACTGTAAATATTTTATTACAGTTAAGAACCCATACATTATTTAAAACTAAAAACTATTCCCCCCATAAGCCTATATTACTACTAGTGTAATGCCATCGTTAATATAGCGAACGTCGTTTGTGTGAACACTTTGGAATTTTAATCTGTGGATTAGTAACTTACGCTGGAGCCTTATGCTGTGTGTGTGAACATACCCATAGGCTTTAAAACCAACCCAATGACATAACCTTCTACGCCTATAGTTATCAAACATGAGGTGATTGTCAGGATGACAGCTGTCAGGGGATAAGCATAATAGTACCATAACACTTCAAGGGAATGGAGAGGCCTGGGAAGAGGGGGTATGAAAAATAAGAATGCGGAACTATAAATCCCTTTCCAATAAAAACTTAATGGTAATTTTTACTATTTTAACCCACTTAGATATATATAATTTTTTTTTAGTATTCTGGATACTCAGACCGTATTTTTACTGTTCATCCCTGAGGTCCAGGGGTTTAGCCAGAAAAACGAAATATGCCTCCCAAAATTGAAGCCAGTGGGAGTGGCCCTGATCGGGCCACGCCCCCTCCCAAACATAAGAGAAAAACGTAGAAAATTATGATCTTTAGAGGGAATTTAAAGGTGTTTAAATGTTGGAATTTTGTCTTCAAAGGAATAGTGTTGAATTAGCTATCACAAATATATTTCAGTTATTGATATACTGTATTGCACACAGCTATGGTTACTCACATAATGTTTCTAGGCTATGCAGATGCTTCTTCATCTCTCGCCTTAGTCTAGTGTAAATTCTACTCTAGGTCCTCCGAATCGCGAGAAGGCCTAGACCTGCTGTATTTTGTTGACTAATAAAATTTAACTTGTGATGTTAACAACAAATCTTTTTTAAGGTATTTCATGAATTAATTATCCAAAGAGTTACAAACACCAACAATATTATGTCGGGAAACCGAAACTCAAGTAATTGTATTTGCATTCGAACCAGGCCCATATAGGCTAGGCCGAGTTGATCAGGCCAAGCGTCTAAGCCGTCACGGTAAAAGTGGCCGTCCTAAATAATTTTTGACCGTCCGGCTGGATGGCTCGCTGGCTAGCTAAGCCTATGCTGAGGTCCAGGGTATTTGGAACTTAGTGCCCCCCAACCCCACCAGCCTACACCCATGTGTTGCTACTGGTTATTTGAGAGATGTTCTGTCTTACTCTAGGATGCTGACAGCCGATTTTGCTGCGGCGGCCGTTCTGATATCCTTTGGAGCACTACTTGGTAAAGTGTCACCACTTCAGCTCATCGTCATGGCCTTTTTTGAGATAATCTTCTTTACGATCAACTTGTACCTCGGCCTAGATCATATTAAGGTAAATTACAGCATACCATTCTTGTACCAATGTAGGGTCACATTGGTTGTGATAGATTCAGGGCCAGATTAACATAGGGACTTTTGGGGTGCCAGCCCCAGGCCCACAGGCCTAAATAGGCCCCCAAACCCCCGGAAAAATCACGGAAAATCTGGTTTTATGTTTTAGCCACAGAATATTTAGGCCCACTTGCAATTATAGCCCCAGGCCCCACAGCCATTTAATCTGGATAGATTTCAGCTAGCTGATAACTTATTCATTCCTCTAATCTTTTCGATCTGAATTCATTCATATTAAACACACACACACAAAAGGCAAAAAGAAAAAAAAACAGTCAAGGAATCATTGAAAGGCCAATTTTACTAATGATGAATGAACCATGAAATCTCACATGACACATTTTAAGGCGTCAAAAAAAATAGATCGCAACTTTGGACCATTAAGTTTTTTCAGATGATCAATCATAATACAAATGAATGCCATTTACGATGTGACGTGATGATGATCGCCGAATCGGCGCTTTGTTTACTATCATTGAAGGCGTAGGCCATGTACAACCATGGAGGAAATATATTAATTTCAGCTTTGTACGTTACATTGTAATGTAAAGATTTTGCAAAATAAGCTTTAATATAAAGACTGTAAGCTAATTTAGACGTAAACAGTGTATATTATTATTAGTAACCATCGTACGCTGACAAGTGTACATGCTGTTACTCTGCTGAGGCCTAGTCCGTCGGGCCTAGAGTAGGAAAATATAGGAAGTGCTCAAAATTTGTTAGTGTTGCCCAATATGTCATACTATACGATGTTTGTATTACATAAACAGGATGGCTCTGACTGTTATACCGAGTCTAGTCATCAGCTCTACTCACACTTCAGTGGACTTCTCCAGTGGGTGGGGCTTATACTAATATTTTAAACCGTCATTTTTAATATTTATAAACCAAAAATTAAAAATATTTTATTACCACTCATTTGTTAAACATATGTAATACTTCAATAAATCAGCAACTTAAAAAGCATAATTTTAATTGGACTTTAATCGAAAGGGAATAATTTGCATCTTTGACATAAATTCTGTTCAAAATCAATTAATTCATAGGTTTTGGATGTGGGTGGCTCAATGTTTGTTCATACTTTTGGTGCTTACTTTGGCCTCACTGTCTCAAGAGTTTTGTACAATAAAGCAGCTGCAGGTAATGAGAAGGAAGGGTCTGTGTATCACTCTGATCTCTTCTCAATGATTGGTGAGTACAGTATTATCAAAGAGTATAGAATTGCAAGAGGCCCGACTATCCTTATTTTGCATGCACAAAATGTACTACCACAAGATAGGAGGCGCCCTATTAAAATATGAAAGATGTGTTCTATAGATGCAGCACAAGTTCGATACAAATGCCTTTAGATTCTTTTGTACAGTAGGATGCTCTCTAGTTTGTGTTCTTTTGAAATAGGATTTTCTTTAACCCCAAAACTTCAACCATGAAATTTAACTCTTATATACAGCGCAATACCCCATTTTGCTAAATATTTATGAATAATGCAGCAAATGATAAGGCAAGACTTTTTCTATACCTTGTTTAGTGAACCTGCCGACTCCAAAAATTCATAATTTCAAATAAAAATAAAATTTTCGGCCAATTAGGGCACCTATCACCACGAAAATTGGAAATTTAAAAAAAAAAGTTTTTCTTTATTTTTATTACGCCCTCCGCTGTATTGAAATCTCTAAAGATAAGATATGTATATATTCTTCCTAATTATATAAATATATAAAATGTGATGCAAAATCATAAAAGTGCTGCAAACTCGCACCGTGCTGTATTGAGAAACAAGCCTCAATAGCCAGAATAGTGCGTAGAATGTGAATTTTGTGTAAATTGCGTTTTTGTGTAATAAATAAAGTATAACTTTTAATCTTACTATTCCTGAAGGTAAAATTTAGCCATTTTCGAATGGGAATTAGTGAAAAATGAATAGAAACCTGCCGAAAATAAATGCTTTTTTCTCAAAACTTGATTTAAGAAAGCTGATAAAGTGATAATTGTTCAAACGGTCATAACTTTGCTTCCAATTGATTGAGTTCATTTAACTGTCATTTTAAAGTAAATGATATGCTCTATGCTATTATAACAAAAAGTCATTTTAGCCTGAGGATGAGTTTACAGCCCTTTTATAATCTTGGGTCACAAATTTAATTTTTGTTTTCTCCTCCGTCTGGATGTTTTTTGCAAAACTATTTGCTAAATAAGAAAACAAAATTTTATGTTAATTTTTATTCCGCTCTCCTCCGATGATTTAAAAAAAAAGTAGTGCGCAAAACAAGAAATAAAAAAATGTCTCGCCTAAAAAGGTGACAGGAAAGCAGCTTTATTTTTTTATACAAATCTCTAGTGCCAATTTATTTAAGTGCCCATTCTTGTTATATGTTCTTTATATATGTTACTAGGCAACTTCTTTCTAAGCATGTTAATTTGTTGTGTTCAATTAGGAACTATTTTCTTGTGGATGTTCTGGCCAAGCTTTAACGCAGCCCTTGCACAAGGTGATGATCGTTACCGAGCTGTTCTCAACACGTACTACTCATTAGCTGCTTGCTGTGTAACAACTTTCATTGTTTCGCACTTTGTCCAGAAGGAAGGCAAATTCAATATGGTATGCTTATTTTTTTTGTCAAGAAGCAAAAATCAAATATATTTACAATTTATAAGAATAAGAATTATGAATTTTTTTACTCACAAATCTGCAAATCACAGGTAACATAAAACTTGATGGTGCTGGTAAGTCTTTTTTAAAGTTTAAAGATGTGCTGCTGTGTAGAGCTAAAAACATTAACATGAAAGTCAGTATCTGAAATTGAATACCTAGTATTTGTAGATTATGACTATTTCATTTGAAATTACATGTAGAATGATATTAAGACTTAATTGCCAAATATTGTTGATACATTCAGTAAATAATACTGATTTTTACCATAAACACGTACATATGCTGGTAATCAATTGAAAGACTTCTGTAGTAAACATTCTGTAAGTAGGTAAAAAAATCCCTCTTTTTTTATTTTGTTTACATTAATAGTGGAAAATGTAAAAAAAATGTATTCCTTTTATGAGCTATTCAAAGAATTCTTGAGGATGTTTCAAAATTTCATGACAGGTGGTACATGTTAAAGGTTGAACTCCTTCAGTTAAACTAAATTTACAGTTAAAAAATGACAATATAAATTAAGTTTTGTCTTGTAATATGGATATTGCTTTTCTGGTAGGAGTTAAAAGTTATTCCTTTGCTTTGTTTTTTAATTAAACAGACTGTACAGTAGGCATGCATGGTATATTTTGTTGAATCAGGGAGTCGGTTGAATTTATTTTGACTTTTTGTAAATTGGTAGAATTTTTTAACCTACGTTTTACTTTAGGCTCTGCGGTTTGGTGATGGTACGTTTAGATCTAGGGTCTGTTTTAGGTGAACAATAGACTTAAGATATCTAGATGCTAAAGCATTCAAAGATATACAAAGACATTTTCTGATTATTTGTTAACAATATACCTCTTTATCCAATACTCTCTTAAAAATCATCTATTCCGAACAATTAAAGTTCAATGCTCTCTACAGTGCAAAAATAGAAATACATTAGGACTCTATCCTTCAGGTCATAAGGCCATGAATATAAAATATTTCAGACTTGTGAATCAAATTTATGTACCTTTCTTCCCAGCATAAATATTGACAAAACCTAGAAATAACATAAAAATGAAAGATTCATAATAGGAACTGAAAAACAGATAGCCTATAAACCTAATTCTTTAAATATTTGTAGAATAAAAAAAAAGTCTTCCATACAGTGCAAGAATGTTTTGAGTCAATAAACACAACAAACAATGGGTCATGCCACAAATTTTAACAATAAAGTATTCTAAAAATGACCTAGTTTAACCATGGAGGTATTATGAGATCACTCGAAAAAGCTACGTGCACGCAGCACTGTGCAAGTGAACTTAGAACAAAGCTGCCGCAGCGCGTGAAGAACGTTTGCGCGATGCCTTTGAAGTCTGATGTGTTCCCTGCCACCAAATGCTCATCAGGCTTAGTTTACCAAAAAATTGAACATGGCGAAATGGAGAGCACGTAATTTTCTCAATGCGCACTACTTACAGTCAATCACTATGGCTGCGCAATCGTTTACACAATTAAGCTAATACATTGATCTTTCAAGAAATACCATACATAATAATATTTTCCAAAAAAAAAAGTTTCGAATTTAATGAAACCTTTACATCAGCTTTAAAAGTATCGTATATTTCAACTTGAATTTCAATAAATTGGATAAAACTCGATAATTGTACTTTTAACAGATATCGATTAAGGAGTGATGGAGGATTATAATAAACTAAGTCATTTTAGGGTTAACGAGGGTTAACTATTCGAAAATTCAATCCAAAATCAGAGTAATTTTCAGTTTTATGCTGCCTTAGCTTTATTCGAACCAAAAAATCTTTAGACAAAATTATAATGAACACAGAAGTAATTTTAACAGAAATATTTTACGGAATCTGTTCCTGAAAAATATACAAATAATAACATATTAAAAGTCCAAAAAAATCCAATCAGGGGAACATTATTCATTATAAAGATATTTAATGGGTTAAAATCAAACGCTTTATTGCACAACTGCTGTGCTGAAGCATATAAATGCATGTCGTTGCCAAGTTGTTGCTAACAAAAAATGTGAATTATAGGGTAATACGCCCGCGCGCGATCCAAAGGCGGGGAACACATTGGTTTGTCGCGTCAAAGGGATCTGTTGCCGAGTGATCTAATTCTCAATAATACCTCCATGGTTTAACCCTTTCACTGCTGCAGGTAAATACACCTCCTGTGATGGGCTTTTTTATGAGGAAAAATGGTGATTTTGAAATAAATGCCACTGAAAAATACTAAAACAGGTTATTTTGAAATTCTTTTTGCATGTTGCGGTGGAAAGAAGTTGGCCTATGGGGTGAAAATTGAAATTTGGTATTTTTCATAATTAGGTGGCCGGCCATGTGACCTCTTGGTGGCCATTTTGGAATTTTCTCTTTTTCATAAATTCTGTGAAAACTAAAAAAAAAACTACTTTTCCTACAAGAAATTCTTATGGGATTGTGTTTTTTTTTTTATTCCCCCCCCCCCCCCAACTGGATAATGATGAAGATACATAAAATGAATAAAAACATACATAGTTTGAATTATTTCCATCATTTTATTCAAAAAAAGACACAAATCAATGTTTGTCAGAAGAATCGTGAAAAACATAAAATTTTCAAAAAATCTGGGTTTCCCAAACCCGGAAAAGGTACATCCTGTTGGGCTCCGCCAAAAGTTGTCAGACCCTTCTCTTAATGTGTTTCCTGCTAAAACTTCCAGAATTCACAAATGAACATAATTCTGTTTACAGCCGGCCTCATAACTTTCAGGATTGCAATGCCGTCATAATCAAAGTGGCATTTGTCATGATAAAGCAACTTCCCTGCATGGATTACCTTAAACAGGATATTATTAAATTAGGCTTCATAAGTCCACTTTTCTATTCTAAGGTCCACATTCAGAATGCGACCCTGGCTGGAGGAGTAGCAGTTGGGGCTTCAGCTGACTTGATGATCCACCCTTGGGGTGCCATTCTGATCGGTACTCTGGCTGGAGTCCTGTCCACTGTTGGCTACACTTACTTTACGGTATTGTATAATTATTATTTACTTAATTTATATGTTATTTATTAGAATATGAATTTAAATTGTTAATGGTAAATGAAAATTGTGATTAGGCCCCTGGGGACCAGCATCCGCAGTGCAGTGCTTACCATGATCAATCTACCAGGAGATAATCCCTGCTCTTTTTATACAGTGTACTTTTTATGTGCATGTGTGCTATTATACACACAGGACCAATGCCTTAACTTTCCATATGAAATTTGAGTTAATTAGAGCAAAGTACCTTACCCAAGAACATAAGCTAGAACAACATTGGCAGGTCTTGAACTCAGAAAACAGACAAGTATGATACAACAAGTAGCATGAACCCCTTTCAACGTCCCATACTGTGTGAATTGTACTGGAAAGTACCACTATAACAACTCCCTGACAGTAAATACAGTACTTTGAGTAAGGAGTGCTTTCAAATAAGCACCACATGGTCCAACCAGAAATTGTTTTATTCAATCTTGAACAACTACTGCAGTGCTCATTAAAAATATATTTAATTTTTAATAAATGTTGCAGCACTAAATGTAGAGCAAAAATTATTTGTGTCCATTACATTTTTCTCGCAATTATGTATCTACTGTTCTGTTCTGTAATGTGACTTTTCTGAAAGAGTAAATACAGTCCGCCCTCCAATTCGAGACCACTCTGTGTATCTGAAATTTCAGGTGGTCTCAGGGTTCAGTCTCAAATTAGCAACCACTAAATAGAGACCACAGGATTGAAGTGGTCTCCAAGCAGCATAATTAGACGGTAACCGAACCTGAAACCTCTAAATGAAGGCCGAAGATAAAAGTGGTCTCCAAAAGACAACATGGGACAACCATTCATTTATTTCAAAGAAACTGTTGTTTGCTTCTAAATATTTTTTAGCAACTTGTAGCTGTTTAAAACACATTGAAAAAAATCTGAACAGCATACTGTAATGTAAATATAACATTTACACTTTATTTGACTAAAGTTAGGTTCAGGTATGTAGATGCCCATCCTTTACATAAAGAAAGGTGTAGTGGTATCTAGCCAGATAACACTGAGGGCGCCAAACTATTACACGCAAAGTAGGATACGAGACGAGTTCCTGTAGTTTGTCAGACTAATTTATTTCGTCACTTCGCACCGACCTGGTGACTGAATATAAATGTAAAAAATATAAGATACAATGCAATAATAATAATATTAAAAATTAAAAACAGATCATCAATACAACCTCAATCAATAATAATACTGTACTTTCAATAAAATCTTCACTGAGAAACCATAATATCATGTAAAGAGACTAAACTCTAAACATCAAGTACATACATAAGTTAGTCAGTTACATTTAAGTCATGAAAACTAACTTCATAATTAATACAATCCATAATAAACATGTTACAGTACACAAGTTATGCATAATTCACAATATGCAACATTAAGGTAGAATCATAGAAATTAAAGCATAAGTTATAAAGCTAACTTAATGTTAAAATCATAGCAATTAACCGTGAACATTAATCATAATGTAATAATATACTTAGCAATAATACATAAAACATTGGTCAATGAGCTTACATAAATTATGGCGCAATACAACTGCACACTGAAGCTAGCATCAATACACAGATCTTTCATCAAATGTTATCCTTATCATCAGGATTACAACCGCAATCAGGTATGACAATACTGTACTGTAAACAAATCGTCATTTAAATCAGTGATTTAAATAGTATTAAACTATATCATATGAATAATCATGGTATAATAAAACAGTAATGTTGTAGTGTATTACACAAAATAATAAATTCACACAAAGGAATTACTGTACCAAGATTTAACATCCATCAGCTATACAATGACATATTGTATTTATCAGTAAATGTTATATAACTATGTAAGCTTTAAATACTTAATAACATCATTCATAAGCTATATTATATATTGAATTTATCTCTAAACATTATAATACTGCATAATCATTGTATACAGTATATAGCCACGTATTGTACTATAATAAGAAATAGGCTTAAACCAATATCAGACGTACATCACACCTGCCAAGGCACTGTTTGCCCGGCGGTGAAGAAAAGAACTTAGGCCTAGGCTACAAAATTAATAGCAGTATTTCACAATATAATCTATAAACTTGCATTTATCAAGCATTAAATCACAACATGGCAAGTCTATGTAACAATATAAAACAATCTGATCATCTTAATATAAGAAAATATAGAAACATACCCATAATATTACAGGATTCAAAAACTCAATGAGTAGCCACACATGTTTTTACCTTCAACCGGTACATGCTACTGAATTTAAAACCCACGCGTAAAGGCGAACAGAGGAAAGCTACCCCATAATGCAACTTACAGAAAACATAAACAAAATAATAAAACCGCAAGAGGGCGCTACATACAAAGTGCGAAAATGAGATCGATAACAAAAGGTGTTATTTTCTTTTGTGTTACTTGGCCTTTCCTTATATTCCCAATCTTCAATAAGCAATTCTCCAATGGGTTTGAAAGTTCCTCATGGCCATGATAAAGTGGAGATAGAAGTTCCGTAGCTAGACTCTTTGATAAGGTGGGGGGGGGGGACCAAGTACTGGAAGGGCCATGCCCACTTCAGTACAGCCATTGTTGGAGCTAAATTTGAATGGACCTGCCCCCTCCTCTTTTGGTTACTGGGCTGGATATCCATTTCTTTTCAGATCAAAGCGAATACCAACAGGGAAACACTCAGATGACACTGTTCTTACAAATCTTTGGATGAAACCATTATGTCAGGTGTTCCATCTTGACTAGATTTCCAATATTTTCCCCCAATAACTGTCTATGTTACTATATAAAAAATAATTTTTGCTTTAGTTTTAATTATTTACGTATCTTTGATTTTAGCAGAGGGCCAAACAATTGCCCGGCTACGGGGCCGGGCAATTGAATGGCTGAAGAAGAAAATCAGAAACATAAGGACTGTATCAAAATAGGGATAAGCAGCTGATTCAACAGTTCACTTTTTCAAAAAACTTGAATCTGTTAATTTGATTATATTTTTTAATGTGGTCTTGAATTGGAGGTCATTTTGTCACTTGGTACTTCCATAAATGTGGTCTCATAATTAGAGGGTAAGTTCAGTGTTAAAAGATAGGTGGTCAGTTGATACTTTGAAAAACTGATCTCGAATTAGAGGGGTCTCGGAATTAGAGAGGTTTCATCGAATTTAAGGGCGGGATGTACATTACTGTAAGTAAGTAACAATGATCACAGAACGTTGCAGTAACGGAGTGTCATTCAAAACTTGTAAAAAGAGACACAAGCACCCATGCATTTCATAGGATCAAAAGGTCATTATTCTCTCCTTTTTAAAGAAAATCATAAATCTTCTTTCTATGCACTAACAATTTTAACTAGTTGCATCACAATAATACTTGTATTTCTAAAGGAAGAGAATACAATAAACAAATGGGTGTCTCCAGTGGCCATGACCTCATTCAGATTTAAGTTCAACAAGGTACAGTATCTTGACCCAACTTCTCCAACAATACTCAACATTCCAATCACCAGCACATCCCAGCTAAAAATAGGTTTAAATTTCTGCAATGATAAAAATAATTTTGGGCACTCACTGGCTCTGGCAGGCTATGTCGTACCCCGCGAGAGGCAGTGAGTGCCTGGTATGTTCAAGAGAGCTAAGTTAGGGCTGCACGTATTACAGCAACAAATACAGATTACTATTGTTCAATTCCATTATATCAAATTGAATGTAGCCACCACATTTTCTACCTATATTATTGTGGTATTATTTTTCTTTAATGATCAGCCATGTTTGTCGAGCAAAGCCAAGGTGCATGACACATGTGGTGTTAACAATCTTCACGGGATGCCAGGGGTGTTAGCAGGAGTAATCGCTGCTATCGTTGTAAGCTTTGCTGATGAAGACACCTATGGAGACAGGTTAGGTTGCACCTTGGGCTGATTCATGCTACAGTCTATAAATAATGACAGCAAAAATAAAATTAACAAAAAGCAGTACTACTTTAGCTAGCTCTATATGTTTAGCCTACTTAGAGGATATCTATAAAGACAATTTAATCTTCTGCTGCTGTAAAGACTTGAGATATTTTGGAGTCTTTGTTTTTCTATATCTAGGTTTGGCGCTACTGTATGTAATGCTACAAAAAACCTACATGGAAATATTTGTGATAAGACTATTAGCAACAACCATATATAAAAAGTATGCAGAAGCAATAAAAAACATGGCTGCTATGAGTAGTTGTTAATTATGCTACTCGGTGTTAACTATCATGTTTACAGGGATGCATAATGCACCATCATTGTGACAGACCTGCCTGTACCTGATAGTTTGTGCAATTCCAATAAGTACCATATTTATTGGAGTAAACACCACAGGCGTTTATTGTTCAGAAGGGTTTTTGAGGGGGTGTTTATATGAGGGAGGCATTTATTCAAGGAAGGCGTTTTTTTTTGTTTTTTTTGCTGTAAAATGGACACATGCAGTACTCAAATAAACGCCCCTTAATTTCACTGTACAACACATAATTACCATCAAAATGTGTATTGCGTGATCATAAAGACTTATTGATCCTTTTACAAAAAATGTAATTATACTGGAGTAGAAAATTAATAGAATGTGTTGAAAATACTGCTTCCGTTAGATTTGTTTACAGTAATCATTTATTCGAGGGAGGTGTTCGTTCAAAGTAGGGCTTTTATTCAAATATACTGATATGTGTTTCCATCAACTGTTCAATATTGACTATTTAAAATGTTTCTCAATACGCAGCCTATACGAGCAATTCCCGGCTCTTGCTCCGAAAAACCACACAGCAGCATACACAGAGCTTTCAGCTAGAATTAAGATCGATTTGGTACCAGGGGAGGGGCGTAGTGCCAGCACCCAGGCTGGGTATCAGATGGTGGCCCTCATTGTCACCCTGCTCTTTGCTTTGGTTGGAGGTGTAATTACAGGTGAGAAGTAGGACTAAGACTAGTACCAAAATACTAGGTTTATTTTGGGACTGAGAATATTATTGAAATAATTTTTCAGGGAATACTGTAACTACAAAGATAGTGCGATTGACAACCATGCCTTACATAGAATCATTTTTTATTTTATTTTTGTTGAATAATATATTTTGTTATATAGTAATGTAAAGAAATATGTATATAATACTTTTCACAAACAAATGAGTCATGACTGATGGGTGTGGGTGTACCACCCCTCCTGCTATCATCACCACTGTCCATGAAGTACATTTGTAACTTTACCTACAATATACTGGTACTTGTAGCCATCTGATTTCAGACATTCGGCAGCTATTGACATTATGTTGGCGTTAAAAGACTGCATATTGTGATTTGTGATGAGGGACCCGTGTACAAAACAATTACCAAACACAAAAAATATGGAAAACTGAATGCTTGTATTTAGAGAATTTCATCTGTGAGAAAAATCTTAAAGTATGCAGAGTCTGGATAAACCCAGGACCCTAGATGGACCAGGACCCTGGATAAAACTGGAGTGCAGAAACAGACTTGTTAAGTCTACTGTACATCCTGTCAATTTTAAGTTGTGATAGTACAGTCTGTGACAAAAAAGAAAGAAAAGTTTGGACTCAATTAAATCTTTAAACATTCAATTAACATACTTATTTAAAATTATTTTCAATGAAAATTTAGAGTTTTATATCCCAAAATAATTCCTTACATTTTTTACCAGCCAAAATTATGGTTGTATGCAAGGAGTTAGCAGGCTCGGATCCAAGTGGGGCCCACAAGGCCCGGACCCCCTTTTGGAAAGTAAAAATTTTTTTAAAAGAAAAAAGAAAAATAAATAGAAAAAATTTATCGCCCAAAAGGCCTCAGAGGTTATTTTCGGGCATCTAGAACACAGAAATTTCACCGGACCCCCTAGAGTATTGTTATCTCAATCAGCCCCTTCCGCCTTCCCCACCCCCCTTTTGGACATCTCTGGATCCGCCCCTGATTAGGAACAGTTAGTCCAACACAGATCCTTCACAAAAACTAATCATTTTTGTTACTTTAGGATTTATTCTGAAGTTGCCAATTTGGGATGCTACTGCTGATGATGATCTGTTTGAAGATGAACCCTATTGGGAGGTAAGCTTGCTAAATTTATCAAAACTATCAATAAGAATCAATTGCTTTAAATTAAAAATTAGCTATTAAATATCCAGTATAGTTGTTTATACCTACTAACATTTATCACAATTTATTTCGAAGATAAGAACCTCTAATTTTTTTTTAAATAAATGCTTTTCAAATATAATTTATGATTTAAGGCTTAAAGAGTAGGCCTATAATTTCAAGTATAAATAATAGTATAAATTAATATAATATCATTAATATATATAGCTTGAATTGTTACATTTTGTCTAGGTCTACAGAATGGGCTGATTTTTAAAACATGAATAACAGAAATGAATCTTAATTGACTATAGTGTATATTCCTTCCTTTGACAGCTAGTACTGTATAAGACGTAATACTGTACTAGGTACAATATGTCTACTATGGGTTATAAAAACACACTAAAGTGTGGTTATCATAAACAACTGTTGAAGACTCCATTTTCTCATTAATTAAATCTCTCTACTAACGTTTAACCTTACTTTGACATTAACATGGTAAGCATTCCAATTCCAACAGGTTTTGTGAAGGTGAATAAATTTAATTTTCAAAACAAAATGTGAGAATCAACAAAAAAAGTAAATTTCTGTGATTGCCATGAGAGTTCAATTAAACCAATGAGATAGGAGGGTCTTAAAATACTCCCTCTGAAAAGTGTGAAGCCTGTCCAATAAATTACTGACAAATAATATATCCATTCAAAAGAAATTTATTAGCATCAATAATTGCGTGAATTATTATTCAATAAATTCACAAAATTCAGCACAAGCTAAACTGACCTCTCTTAAAAAGTAATTTATCTCATTCCTACCAAGCACACACCTGATGCAAACCTGTCTCAATTGATAAACAAATATATTAAATTATTGCAGGAAAACATTAAAACTCATAAAAATATTTGCAAGTATTGACCCCAAAATATTTCAATGAATTGGGTAACTGCTTCTAGACAGTTGTAGAATGGGTAGCATATAATGATAAAAGATCAATAGACCTTCCTTAAAGACCCTCCAGTTAATGTCCACCTTTCTGTACCTACCAGATGAATGCCTATCTTTCTCTTTTATATAAATTAATATAGTAGCGGTAGTTGTTTTTTATTTGTTATTAGAATCAAAGCTGCTTAAGACCATGAAACCCAGTCCTAAAATGACCTTTACTTGGAGAGAGACCCATATCGACATAATGAAAGTATTAAGTAGTTTAAATTAATTTGGGATTACTAATAGTAGTCTCAACATTTTCCTGTTTATTCAAGATTTTTTGGGCATAATGTCTAAATCCATTTCATTTAAAGACATTTCAGTTGGCAGATCCCCAATATCAGAGGAAAGCAACATCTAATATCTAGCTCTCTAGTAATATAGGTCTGCAGAGGTTATCCTCTACAAATATGGTTGAATAATACATAGAATAATTGATAACACAACCATCATCTTAGCAACAAATATCCATGTGACCCGGCAACCAATGCTTAGCAAGCGTGCGTGTTGCCCTTTTCTGATTTTTTCCTATAGTATGACACCTTATATTCTCCACAGGGTACAGAGCCATACTACAACCAAGTTCCAAAGAAAGATGAAACAGAAATGCAGCCCTAAAGTTACTTTTAAAAAAAATTCCAGACCATTGCATTTTTATGGAATAAGAAAAATAAACAAACATAATGCAGTACTTAATGATAGAGATAAGGAATTATACACTTACAGTGGTTGTTTTACTTAAAGAAAAGTAAAGAGTTTTAATTATCAAGGTGTATTTTTTTATCAAAGCAAAGACAAGCTCATTGTATATAATGATTTGTGTTATAATTATTAACACAACATGATGCTTTTATTGAGACAAGATGATCATAAATAAGGATTAGGAAATAAGTATTTTTTTTAATAATCTGAAAAATGAAATTAATGTAAATGGTGATTTAGGCCACATAATTATAGTTGTTGCACCCTCTTTATTTTTAAATTTTTCCTAACACAAGATTTCTGCAACATTTGCATGCTGCAGCCAGACATTGGGACAGTTAGGACAGTCCTTCATTATTTTACTCAGAATATTTAGTAAACCTATAGTAAGTTACAGTATGTGAACCATTCTTTAAACATCAACCTTTAGAGAGTGGACCTATTAAAAGTGGATTTATTTTTGCTTAAGATACTGGACCCATCATTTATTTGCAAGGCTTTTTTATATGCAAGGATTTTATCGAGCATTCAATTTCTTCATTTGGAAAATAATAAAGTTATTCTGATTCTGATTGAACCATAGACAATTTCATGTGTATAATCAAGATAATGTGGATTCGTCTTTTAAAATGTGGACAATTTAATTATGTAAAATCTAGATAATGTGGACTCGTCTTTTAAAATGTGGACAATTTAATTATGTAAAATCTAGATAATGTGGATATACGAAGAGAGGACAATTCTAAACTTAAAACTAAATAATGTGGACCCATCTTCCAAAAGTAAATCCATTGGGATTTCTTAAAATCCCAATGCGAACTTGCTATTTCTAAGAGTGAACACACTTTACAGGTTAAAATAAAGAAAATGTGTACTAGTTTTTAAAAAAGTGTACTATAAACTATCATGTATTGTTTCATTATCTGTTTGTTCTGTACTATTGTATAATTTTAAATACATATTCACTAGCATTGTTCAGGCCTAGAATCACTTGGATAGTCATTGCTTATCTGATGGTTGCATTTCTGTGGGATTTTCTGTGTTTTGCCTCATAAGTAAAAAGAAGAGGTTGGACAAGAAACATATTTTAAGTCCAATGGCATATACATACACTTTGTTTACATTTACAAATTCCTTGCAGCATTGAGGGATAAGGATCTAGGAGGGATGATTATTTATTTATTTATTTTATTTATTTATTTACGTTTATTTACCCAGGGTAGTCCGAAACAGTTAAAACACTGATTTCCATTGGGGCCCTTCATTTAAAGCACATGGTCGTAACTGGTTATATTTTCTTCCACACTTTCTAATTCTAACCTATTTTTTGTCTCCGCTTCCTTTCAGGATGTTGAAAAAGAACCGATGGTTAAACAAGCAGATAAAAAAGAACAAAATCAATCAGAAATCAAATTGTAGTGTCCAACAACAGTTATCATGCATTTCTTGTCATGTAATCTTGTCATAAAAATAATGTGATTTGGTTATCATAAAAGTCAATTGGGGAAAAAATAGTTTAAATACAATTATGCAACATTTTCAAAATAGTTTTAATTGCGTAACCTTGATTAATGAGTAAAATTATGGTATAAAGTTCTTCCATTTCTAGCACCTACCATTATTTAAGCAAACAATATATTTTTACAATGTTGAGAATGACCTTGAGAAGGCATTAAGACTCAGTAATAACATGAGAATATTGTCCAATATATTTTTATTTTTCGGAAAATTGTTATCACTGGTTTTACTATTCAATAATGTACAGTATTTTGTATGTAGGCTATACTAAGTTTGGAGTGCCTAACTTTTTTTCTTTATGGAACACTCATCAGGACCATTTAGTAATAATGGTGGATACAGTAGTACCTCATACAATCAAAGGTGTGTGTGCTTACATCTTTCTATGTAATGCAAGATTCCTTATGAGAATGATGGTAGCAAGAGGCAACATTTTTTTATAATTGAATCATAAGAAAAAGTAAAAATTATTTTGCCAAATACAAACAAAAATATTTCTCATACCATCCAACATTCTTTAAAAAAAATTATTCATGAGGCAACACCTTGAAAATCCTATGCAAATGCAAACATCCTATTAATCAATGAGTATTTTTGTTTACCTAGACCTATGTAGATATGGTTGTATACATGTGTGGCCATTTTTATAAATAGAACAAGGGCATCATCTTCCTTGGATGATCCACCTATGTGGCCTAATGTCATTCATATTAATATATATTAATAGGCCTTCAAATAGATTCAATGTGAAAAAAGCCCTTGTTTAATGATTTTTGGCTTTGTGCATGTCTCATCTACATGTATTTCGAACAAATATTGGTATTGCAACATGCCATTTCAGGGACGAAGAATCAATAGATTGCAGTAATAAAAAAAAACTATCAATTGAGGTGGCATAAAAAGAAGGAACGGATAGGATGAGAAACTAAGTTCTTTATCTGGCTTTAGTCTACATTATAAATATCACAATTGCATATTTAATGCCTTGGAATTGAAGCAAAGACCATATATAACAAGAAAATGCACACTTCAAATCTGTAAAATCTTCTAAATGAATTATGGGAATGTAATTACAGCGCCCTATGTAAAAAGGAAGGCCCAAAAATGACCTTTTATGAGGGACGCGCAGTGATCATACTTGAAACGAACTTAAGCACATGTGTGTAGGAACAACACATGGAGAGCAGTTCTCTATAAAAATATAAAGCCTTTCTGAACTTTAGTGGGTGCTTTATCTGATACAAATTTCCAGTGCATAGTTTTCAAAAGCACAACCTTTCTATATATGTTTTTTGGTTGATAATGGTATATAATATTTGTGTTATACTCTATAATCATAATTAATTTTTAATTATATTGCTCTGTTATATATGTGGATGGCTACAAGTCTTGTATTCTATGTGGTTTTTAAAATTTTAAATCAACTATATTACAAAGACAATAACCTGTGGTGACTGTTCATGTCAAATGGCATTTTATTTAACTGATATTTTATACGAAGGTTTCATAATTTTGATCAGAAAGACGAGACTTTTATTACACCTTGTTTTATGAACCTATTGCCCAGATAATGAAAATTGTGATGAATAAAAATATATTTTATTTTTTATCTGTAAGCATGCACCATTCACTCTTAAAAATACTTTATCAAATTTTATTTTAATTCTCTTCTCCAGATGCTTTTGGCCTAACCATTTTGCTAAAAAGGTATAAAAAGTCTCACTGATATATTATGTTACACATAAGTACATATACAAATTACACATAAGTATGGATATAAATATAAACTCTAAAATTTCTGTGAAATTATTTTAAAAGTTTTTGGAATATATATTGGTAAGATAATTTTGAGCCAAATATGAATGTAGTGAATTTGGTAAATGATTTTCTTTTTATTAATCCATTAATTTAGTTTTAAATTGTTTTAGGGCATGACAAATTTTTCCAATAATTAATCTGTGAACTTCGTTTTTAACTTGTGTTATGGTATAATGATAAATAATCCTGAGTAGTGCAAAGAGTAGTTTCCATATGGACAAGCAGTAGTTAAAGAGTTTCAGCATGTTATCTATTGTAGTTGTACTAAGACTTCATTAAAACCTTGATATTTTGTATTTTAAGTCTGTTCTTGTCTTTAATATTAAAGTTGGTAGTAAGGTACTATAATCATTCTCACTTAGCACCACCATTATCAGTAGCACCTGCACAACCATCCTCATCCTGCAAACAACCACCTCCACCATCTAGTAATTTGTGAACATACTAATAACAATTTAAGTTTATTCCATGAAGGTTTGTATGGCAGGTACATATTAATAACATCCAACTTCAAGTGGTTTGTTGTATCAGTGCTTTCTCATTAATTTTCTTTAAAAAGCCGTTCTAAATTATATAAATTAGGCAATTCAATATATTTTTGAGCTTATTAAATTTATAGTACATCTTTAAATACATAGTTACAAAGCAAGTACTTTAAATGCTGAATTCAGTTCAATTTAATTGAATTAATGAGTACCTCAAAACAAACACTTTTCATTCCTACAATGAAACAAAGAGGGTAAGCCAACTAAATCATTCTTGACTAAACCAAGTTTAGTGCCAAGGATTCAAAACATAACTTCAATTTAAATGCTGGCAACAGCAGGTGTGTTTGTTGACGTTTATGTTTGATTTTGGAGTTAACAAGTTCATTTCATTCAGACATCCTGGAGACTGCTAGCAAGCTTGGTTATAATTTATTCACAAATACATTATGTTATCTACATGCAGTAACTATATCATAATTATGATAATATCCTATGACACTGATGATAGATAGGATCATCTGCATCTGTTCTGCTCTTCTAGTGTGTATATCCAGGGCAGTGTGCGAGCATGGGGTTAGCATGGGGTCATGGGGTTAGCATGGGGTCGTCAACAACACATTACATTTTAAGATGTAAATTTCTTTTTTGCATAACTGCTGGTGGCTTGTCCCTACAGTTGCAAAATCTTCATATATACTTAAGCATAATCATATAATCAATCAATGTCGGAAAAAGAAATAAACTTACCCAAATAAAATTCTGTACTCACTATAAACCTACATTATTGTATCTACCCAGAGATTTATGGAATGTGTTGTGATTGACATGTTGTACTGATCCAAATATTTAAGACAAAAACACTGGAGTATAGTCTTGTTACCATGGCGCTCAAATAAACTAAAATGAATTATAGCCCCATGCTGTTAATACAGATTGCAATCAGACATACACTGCAGCTGATGTCAATGACATCACAAAAATTACTGTACCTTGGTGGATTGTGTTTGCAGGCCCATCTCAAAAAGCTTGTTTCTCCTGCCCCACCCCAACTGGAAATTTTCAAAGCAAAATTATTACACTGCAGTACCATAGTTAAAAATCACCCCATAATACCTTATTTTTGCGAGCAAGTGCCCCCTCACTATCATCAAGCTTCAAATCCCGCCACCCACCCATTTCAAGAATCCTAGATACAGACAATGATAGCATTTAACATGCAAGGGTAAGAAGTTGAGAAATTTAATGTATGTAGCAAGCAATTTTCTGTATAAAAGCAAATTTTTAATACAAAAAGGTAAATATCAGAAGCTAGAAGTAAAGGTAGATGCATTCCAAAAGAAAATGCTGATATTGAAAATATAAATCTAAAAAAGAACGAGTATTACCCAGAACAAATCCAAAGAAAAGAGGAAATGCAACACTTGTGGTCACTTGCAAACACACCTGTTGAAGAAAAGGAAAGTGACCAATAGACCCAACCAAAAAAAGCATCCGGCCTCAGAAAATGATTAATGATTAATGATTAATGTGATTAATGATGCAGAGTTAATGACAATCATGAATGTAGCCTTAAACATACTCTAGTTTGAAAACCAGAGAAAATGTTCAAATTTCAGCTGCACACATAAAATTCACAGGTCATCGATCTTACAGTACACCATCCGAATTCTCCAAAAGCTTCACAGGCTTCCCACTGATTCGCACATTATTACTAAGTTCATGATCTTTTTCCTCACTAAGCACGTCTCTGCATGTAACCTACTTATTTTAATCCACTAACACACATTTATATCCCTGGATGCACCTTTAGATTATTAAATGTTTTTTTTTTTTGCTCTATGTTTTCAGCACTGGCTCCAGAACTACTGCTAGTCGTAGATCATTTTCCTTTGCTGTAAAAATTTAGAATTCACTCCTTACAGTACACAATTAAACATTGTTTTTCTGTTTACGATTTAGTTAAAAATGAGACACAATCCAGTATTCATTGATTTACAAAACTTTTTAATAGAAATTTGCTTGTTACTTTGCCAGCTGATTATGGGCTTGAACAAAATGCGGAAAGTTAATTATCTAGACACATATGCATCTGTTAATTTGTTAAGAAAATTTTAACTCACTTTTAAATATGACAGCTTAAATATACAAAAAAGATTTTCAAACGTTGAAGATCATTTTTAAAAGTTGTTCAACACAAGCCAGTATTGCAAAATGAAGTGTAACTTCAATCTCGTATTTCCTCGGATAAATACACATTTCATTTATATATCACCTATTGCTTTTTGAATGTTGGTTTTTTATTTGACTTTCTTGGAACATTTATATAAACAAGTTTACATTCAGTAGATGTAGGGTATAATAAACAGACACAGATTTAACAAACTTAAAAACAGAAATATTTACTGGTGTTGCAGTGAATTTATTGTGGGAGCAATTTATTAGGGCAGTAGACTATTGCCTGGTTTAGAAGAGTGAGCACACTTGTTATGCTGAATTAAAGAACCAACAAAGTCTAGAAAAGATAAAAAAAACAAAACAGGTACTACAGTAGGACCAGTCACTGGTGCTATGGTTGCTACTGACTAAATAGATGCTATACAGTATGCATACTTAATCCAGTATAGTTTATACAAAAATAAAATAAACAGAATAAATAAGTTATAATTATTTTTATATTCATGTATTGTTGTATGTTTTATTCATGTATTCATTATTATTATTTAAATCTGTTTAGTATTCAGCACCCATTTTCAAGTCAATGCAAATATAGATGGAGTCAAATGTAGGACAACAGCTGTGTTAGCATCAATCATGTAGCTGTTGGTTGAATAACCAATCAGAACAATGAACATTTAGCCAATCAGAACAAACTTTCAGCCAATCAGAATTAAGAACTGTTAACCAACAATCTGAACTGTTCACCTGGAAGTTGCACTGTCTGTCTGTTTGCGCAAGGTTTTCTGTAGTACATAGGCATCGGCAGGCTCTATCCTTTTATAGTAGTGCTCCTTTGTTTCAACAACTTCAAACCCATGAGATTTGTAAAAATCAAGAGCACTATCATTGTTGATTTGAACATGCCTGTTGACAAGATAATAAATTCACTTAATGAATTCAGATAAACAGGAAGAATGCTTTTATTGATAACTTGAAAAAAGGTTACAGCTATCAAGAGACCCTTAGGAGAAACTTACTGTGCTTCAAAATTAAATGGACTCTTGCAAAAAAATATAAAATACAGTTGAACTTGCCTAAGTCGAATCCAAAATACCACTGAAAAATTGTTCGACTTAAATAAAATTTGACTTACAGATTGTTAATTAATGAAAAACACAACAGTTTGGCATGTAAAATAAGTTTGACTTAGAAATTATTCGAGTTAGGCAAGGTCGACTTAGGTAAGTTTGACTGCAATATTTAAAACTTACAAGAAAAGACTTTCAATATTTCCATCGTGTTTACAATAGTCCAGTACATGGTTCAACATCACAGTACCTAGTGATGATAAATGAACAAACATTATATAATGTAGTAAACAATGTCAAAGAAAGTTCTACTTTATAGTTAAAGTATATTATCTATACTGTGCAGTCCTATTATAGGCTATAGTGGAAATTATTTTATAAAGCAACATTATAGTATTGTGAAAGCTTAAGAAGCTTTTAATATTTTTACCAACAGTCAAGGCAATATCACAAAATTGAAGCACACATTGTCGGCAAAATAAATAGCGACAGGAGGTTTGTATTTTAAAATGCTAACTACTGCTCTTCTTCCCACCCCTTCCACTCCACATACTGTGTTTTCTGGCTGGTGGGTGCCTGAAATTTATGTCCCTACTGGGCCTACACCTTTAAACTGCATGTGAACCTGGTAGTTAATTAGATGATGTCTCAACTGAATATAATGTTGAGAAACACTATGTTTAAGAAGCATTTATTCTACACACCTATTCCTAGTCGTCTGTATGGAGCCAAGCAACCTAGCGTCATTATATACAGCCTTCTGGAACCTTCTTCTGATATGTCTATTCTACAGCAAACTGCTCCAACCACTATGTCGTTGTAATATGCTAAAATACATTAAAAAACTTAAATTGTTATTCTTTACTATTACAATTAAATAAATACTGTATAATGCTTCTAATAATTAAGATAAAAATGTATTAAATGATAATAGATAAATAACGATAGTACATATACAGTATTATTAATGAATAATTAGAGTAACATCAAGAGCACTAAGTATGTGCATATCTCCACCCACAGCAAATCCCTTTCTATAAAATAAATCTCCTAAATCCACAGATCACTGTATTTCAATCTTATACCTACAGTAACACTCTCTGTAAATTTCATTTAGATATGTACAACTGTTTTGTTTTTAGATATTTTGAACACACACACACACACAAACTTACATGACTGAAAACATATATCTCCAGGTAGAAATAATAATAGATAACCGACCCGTGCTAGTATGAGTGAAATGTTTGCTTATAATGTGTATTGAATCTTCTCTATCATATGATATACAGTTAAGACATTTACATGTACCTAATTTGGCTAATTCTCCAACATCCAGCACATCCTTGTAGAATTTGTCATTGTACGACACTGGAAACACAACTTGATTCAATTTCTTCAGTTGCTTAATATTGTGTTGAGTAACTTCACCAAGTTCAATACGACCTCTTTAACAAGAAAAGTAATCAATAACTCATCAATTATAATCAATAACTCATCAATTATAATCAATAACTCATCAATTATAAGGGAAAAACAAAATACTATATAATTACTTTTTTAAAGTACAAAAGATGATCATCATTACCATCACTAATACCATGATGAGAATGAAAACAATTTTCATTTCATTTCATTTTTTTAAAATATTTATTTCATAATGAACATTGGCACAAAAATGATGCCAGAAGATCACTTAATATTTTATTTGTTTTTCTTTTCAATAAAATGGGAAGAAATGGCAGGATGCATCAGTCTTCGTGCTAGAAAGATCTTTTCACTCTAAACAGTGACGATGTGGACAAGTATTAAATTGTAACTGTAAAAAGACCTCATATATACAGATCGATGATATGGAAAAATAGAAAAACTTTGTTGTAGTTAATAGCATAAACACAGTACATAAAGGAAAGACCAACATGATGGCTGTGGGCCGAAGACGCTTTGCATAACAGAAAATGGCGCGATGCATTAAGTCATTGCAAGAAGTCTTTATTTTATCTATTTTCAGAATAAAAAAAGACACAACAAGACTATTTCAAAACAAGAACATTGTTGTAGAAAGATCTTTTTTAATTAATCTCATAAACAATTAAAAAAATAAATACGGAAAAGTATTAAATTATATACCTGTACATATACAGCAGATGTTATTTACACCCAAAAAAAAAGTGTCAATGTTATGGAAAAAATAGCCAAAAGTAATAAACAAAAGGAAGTGGATATATTTATGTGACCGTAAACAAATCAGTAAACGATATACCTATGTGAAATAAATAACGCATTTTAATAAACTGACACTGTTCACTCGATCAAAATTAGCATCAACCCAAGCCACGGTGCCCAAGCTTACAACGGCACTGATTTCATTATAATTTTGCTTTTATTAAACGTAATTTAATTTCCTACAATAGCACTGTATGTAGTTTAATAATTAAATAAGTTATTAAATCATTGTGTTTACTTTTCAAATAAAAGTGATATTATCAGCTGCAAATATTTGGGTTCTTGTCATTTTACTCACATCATTTGTTGAATGAACACAATTGACAAAGCTTAATACTAGGCCTATGCCAAAACATGAAGGTTCCTGCTAAAACAAGCACTCAATTACCTCAAAATCAAAACAATATTCTTCTAGGCCTAAGCCTGTATTGTTGTACGATAGTCAATTATCACAAAGTAAATAACATTTTAATATTTTCATTCAAACACATTTACCGACGTCGTCACTAACAAAAACAACATTGCTAACATTCTTTAGTCGGGCCCAAATCGAGCAAGAACATCCAAGAAAGAACACGTTTAGAGAACACGACCGTGATCCACACTCTACGAACTATGCTATGCAGCAAAAGTAAAAAAAATATGCGTGTATTTTCTGCAAGATATTTCATCATTACGAATGTTTTATTCGAACACTAACAAAAACAACATTTGGCAGTTAATTTGAATGAAATACCATGCTGTGCATGTGTCTACAAAGTATGGATTCAAAGAGCATGTTGAATAAACGATTTTCGAGGCTGCAATAAGCGATAATTTATGTGACCGATAATGCAAGTATATTAAAGTATGACGGTGCATGCGCTATCTACTGTACTGTATTCCACGTAAATATATCGTTATCGTTTACTGATTTGTTTACAGTCATGTAAATATATCACTTTCTAAACAAAAGCGATATGGAAAAGTATTAAATTATACCTGTAAATAGGCCTAGGCCTAGTCATTTAAAAGGGAAAAAAATCACTGAAAAAGGCCGGAACAATGCAGGGCATCGAAAATATGCAGGGCTAGCCTAGGCTGGCTTCTGGGCCTAGCCTACCTACCTAGTCCTAGGGCCTACTAGGTAGGCCTAGGCCTAGGTTACTTCGGGTGCTCAGAAATTTGAAATAGAAATTAATTAGGCCTACTACTAGGCTAGGCGCTAAGCATATACTATACAAAACAAATTATAAATATAAAGGAAGATCTTATCCTAAACTAGAACACAACAAAATGCACATACTTCGTCATGATTACCATGAGCCCACGAAACAATCACTCAATTTAAGGAAATGTTGATAGTGGTGGCGCGTGTTTTGATTGATGATAGGCCGCGTGCGACCGGCGGGATGATGCGGGGTTGGTTCGTCGTCTATTATTTGACCTGACCGCCGACGACGACAATTGAATGTGTACTGTTAATATGAATAATATCAAAGAATATACATAGGGCCTAGAATTTTCATACGTTTTAAATTCGATAAATTTCTATATAAAAAAAATAAACCGATCATAGTTTTATAAGATATAAAATGATGCAAAATGAAATTAAATCTCGTGGTGAAAACTCACGCGCATAGACAGCCTAACCTTTGACATCACAATATCATGTGAGATTGCTCTACCGAATTTTCCACCGATAAGGAGACAGATTTCTGAAGATCATTTGCAAGATTTAAGACACAATCATGGTTAGTAATTATTGAATACACTTCATTATATTCTTTACGCTATAGTAATTTAACTACTTTATTGTTAACAATACGACATGTAGCTTAAAATCCTGCATTTTCACGAATTTATTACTCTGTAGTTAGGCTAGCACTAAGCCTAGCCTGTAGAACTAGAAGGCGTACGCCGTGTAGGCCTATCTTAGCCGGTGGCACTGGTGGTAGGGCGTAGCGGCTAGCCTAAGCTCGGCCCAATCAGCAATTATAATACCACTACTCTACTTTGGCTTAAGGGCCTACCGCTCTATACTTCTTCTTCTACTACTACTACTACTACTACTACTAGGCTAACCTGCAAAAAAAATTGCATTCTTAGTTAGCCTACTGCCAACTGGTACTGTAGGCCTATCATCACTCAATATACAATACATACAAGCATCAAGTTTTTACTCGCACCAAGTAGAAGTTTATTTGGGAAATCCGTTTATTTTTCCTGCACATGTTTTTTATTTCTTTTTCTGTGTCATGTCCGTTGCTCGTGCCATGCACACTAAGTTTTTATTATTTGATGTCCCAACTAAGAGACCCTTTCGAGTATTTAACGTAAACGTAAGCAGTAGTTATTTTTGCTAGCATAAATTTGAGATGTTTTCATGATAGCCACAGTGCAAAAAAGATACTTTTCATTTCATGAGACAGAATTCATGCAACATGTCTAAAGGGAATAATTAAAAACTATGAATTTCTTAAGACATTGATATCATTCACACCAATGGGTTTCTATGCGGTCTGGATAGGCCCACTCCATTGTATCTATCGTAATTATCAATTTCCATGTTTTTCTAAGCCTCTTTAGTCTTACACTATTGATGCCATAAAAGTGTTTTTGTCTAATTTTTTTTTTCTAATTTGACATAAATGAATGATAGAATATGATCACGTTTGTTGTTAATGTTTTAGGCGGGTGGAATGGAAAGAACCAGGAAACTGATAAAGATTCGTGATGAAGATAAGGAATCCATGTTTGGATATGTGTTTGCCGTTTCTGGTCCTGGTGAGTATACCTGCTAGTTCTTCCATAACCTGTTGTATTGTACATTAGAAAACAGGAGTTATATTTATTATAGTTCATATATTATTGTGAATACTGTAGTTTAAGTATTAACAGTATTTATAGGGGTTTTAGAAAATTACAGACTTTCATTTGAGTTGAATATGGAAAATTGCTTGGGATATGGAAAAGTATATTTGAAAATGTAAATAAAATAACTTACCTACTTACGATTCTATTTAATTGAATTGTTTTGTTCATTTTAAAATTATTTATCGAACTAGCATATACCTGTGCTTCGCACGGTATTGAAATAGTGTGAAAAGGTGGTGAAGCATATAGTTAAATGTTATGAAAAGTTGAAAAGGCAATCATTGGGGTTGTTATGTAGTTACCTTGTCATTAATTTTTCTAAAGGACCTCTCTGTAGATAATGTTTTGCGTGAGTGTCTCTGCCAAATAGTCATTGTGAGGAATTGTCCATTTTGATAATACATTGGCATTTGGAGTACAGTACCCTCTTGCATGTTAAAATGCAACATATACAGTTAGGCATGTCTGATATAACTGTTTTTTTTTTAATTAGGAATGAGGAAGGTAAGTAAGCCTATAACTGACAAATAGGGCTCAAATAATCTTCTGAAGTATTTATGTAAATTTGAGATGTTGGTTGGTGGAGCTGACTTGAACCTAATCTTCTATGTAACAACGTGTTAACTCCGACATGTTCGTTGTATGTGTGTTGTGGTGTTGTCTCTCAATATATGGCTATGAATGTGTGCAGGTAGGACATGCATATTAGATAGGTGGGTGGTACAATGACGTCACGACAGTTAAGAGATTTGGAAGTAATCAGCAAGAAAATGTGTAAATTTTGCCAAAAAATACATGTAGGATGACAAAATTACGTCCTAATGCAGCAGATGTTCGTCCCAGTGGTGGTAGCTACAACATGTGTGAAAATCATAATTGTATTTGAAATACTTTCAGAGATATTTGGTGGACAGAGAAAAACAGTTTTTAGTTTTTAGTAGTAAATATCGTTATCCTTATAGTAACGATTAATGTTATGTGCTTGCCCTGTATTTAAACCAGGTGATATGTTAATACAACATTGGTGTATTTTTTTTAATTGATGTGTAGTTGTAACAGCGCAGCAAATGTCGGGAGCTGCTATGTACGAGCTTGTGCGTGTTGGACATCACGAGTTGGTTGGTGAGATCATCCGTCTTGAAGGCGACATGGCTACAATCCAAGTCTATGAGGAAACATGTATCCTTCAACAAAATATGTTTCCTGAAATTAGTAACTAATCTGGTACTCAGACCCATGGAACACAGCTTTCTGTTGTGAATTTTGCTGGGAGTCATAACCTGATCTATTCCAAGAAATGTTTTAATGTCCTTTAACACTTAGCACATTTATCACATTGTAATGTTATTATGCAACCTGTCAATTGCTCTCTTAGGACTAGGAGCTAATCTTTAACCATCTAACCTGTATTTCACAGACACACACAGTTGATGTTACAACAAGAGCTCAATGGTTCAGTGCACACAATTGTTACCAGTATTTTTAACCAACCGCACTATGCCCTCTAGAGTTTAGCGGTAGCTTCCACTGCAGTTACCATGCTTTACCAGCATTTTTAACCAACTGCACTATGCCCTCTAGAGTTCAGTTATTACATCTCCCTGGTTATAGCATCCATGGCAGTTACCAAGTTATAATTCCAAAATGATTAGTCTAGGTTATTTTTCATAATGAAAAACAATTTCATTAACTGTTCAGAATGGAACAAATCAAAGTAACCATGTACCAAAATAACCTTTAAAAGAATGATATCTTTTTTCTTAAAACACATTGTTTCATAGCTGGCGTAACAGTCGGAGATCCTGTGCTAAGAACCGGTAAACCACTATCAGTAGAATTGGGCCCTGGAATATTGGACAGTATATTTGATGGTATCCAGCGACCCTTGAAAGAAATTAATCGACTCACAGAAAGTATTTATATTCCACGTGGAATCAACACCCCTGCGCTCAATCGTTCCCTTAAGTGGGAGTATGAAGTCCAGAATGGAATTCGGGTGAGTGACTGTATTGGGGAATAATAAAGATGACAGTATGTTTTCTTCATCGCAGCTTTTGATGAGTTTTAAGCTTTGTCTATACAATCAAATTTCATCAAAAAATTTGATGGAACATAGAGTTGAACACGTTCAACTTTTTTTGACACAATTTAATGATATTGTGATATGACATCATCGTACACATATATGGGCACATTACATTTTTTGTCACATAAAATTTGATAGTGTAGACAAAGCATTAATAACCTTCAAAAATTCAATTACACAAACAATGTTGTTACAGATTCACAGATATTTTTTTTTTTACAAAAGTTCATTAATGATTACCAAGGCAAAGCTTTAATAACCTTCAAAAATTCCATTTCACAAACAATGTTGTTACAGATTCACAGATTTTTTGTTTACAAAAGTTCATTATTGATTACCAGCAGGCAATTTAAGGCTCTAGATAAGTTTTTATTTCTGTGTCTGATTGGTGATGAAAATATCCTTGTTCTAATTTTCAGATGAAAGCTGTATGACTTATGAAACAAAAATAAGCTCAGCAAATCCAGTAATAAATTGTTCTAGTTTCTTTTCTCAACACCATATTTTAAAATTAGAAAAATTTTCAAACATTTAAGTAAAGTTCATTATTTATTAACTGTTTTCAATGATTAACAGACTTTTTACATTTAAAAGAATTCTGCTAGAGATTTAAGGGTATACACAGACCACAGGATTTTTTTTAGACATCTGTTAATCACCAAGTATCTTTTTCTTGTTGAATTTTTTTAGTTTGTAGCTAATAATGTATGGAAATACAAATTATGTTTGTGGCAGTGTAGCTTTTAATGAGTATTGATTTTGTTTTCTATCACATAAATTAATCTTGATAATTATACTTTGTTTAATGTCACTGCAGTATTTAAATGAGGTGATTAACTATTAATTTTCATCAAATGTAAATACGGTGTCAGACATGCAGATCAATTTATTTAATCAAAGATAATGCAGCACAAAATAATACAAAAAGAAAGCCAAATTATCATAACAGCAAACATTGTAAAAAGAATAAGACAACCCATCAGCCTGACCCAAATTTTCATTATTACTTACTTGCTCCTCTAGCCATCCAAGCATAAGAAAGGTTGACATATACACAGCCATTGCAAATATTACGATACAAAACAATATTACTTTATCAACCGATCGATCATTCTTTATTTTCTATCAATAATTAAAAATACAAAACAAATTAAGATGGAGGAAGTATAACAAATGCAAGGCCTGACAAGGTGCTGTACTACCTTTAAAAAAAACACATAATCATTATCATATTGTATTAATTTGCATCATGGCATTAAGGTAGATCTCTGGAGGTTGGTTGATAACAAACCAATTCTTCTCATGTGACATGTAGCACTTTAGATCTTACCTCTACATTAAGTATACAGAGCAAGTGCTATGCTACCAATCAGAAAGCTATTCTAGAGGTGCCTGCCAGTTTCTAGATGTTTACTCTGGATTTGTTGCTGCTGCTACTTCATGATAAAAGCAGGTGGAACCATGTAAAGATTTTTAATCTTCCATGCCAAATGTTTATGTTTTTTTTTGTTTTTGTTTTATTAATTATCACCTTAAAAAGGTTGATGCATGTGTGGTGCAGCGGGAAAGCTTCAGGCTTTTAATCAATGGATCGTGAGTTTGAATCTGATACTCATCACATGATTTATGTGTTCGTGCAAAAGACAATCATCTTTCATTACCCAGGAGTATAATAAGTGAATACTCGGTTTGATTGTGAATGATTTGCAATAAAATAGATAATATGCTAATAGTTCTCTCCAAGGAGCAGAGTTTGCTACAGAGTCTATGATTTTTTTTAAATATATTATATTATGAATCAGAAATAAATGTGACTTGAATTGAATTCTGTATTAAAAAGCTTTAAATTTTTTCAATGAAAAGAAGTAGATTCAAAAATGAATTGTTAAATAGGGCCTAATGACAGCACATTTTAAGATATAACATACTGTGGTTAAATCTACCCCCCCCCCCCAAAAAAAAAAAAAAAAAAAAAAAACTGATGTGCCAAAGAAGAAAATTACCCTAGGATTGGTAGGCAGGCATTTTAATCATAAAAATAACCTTAATTCCTAAGCGTCCTAAAGATCTTGATAGAGTTTATTGAGCATCATATTATTCAGTTATTGAAGAAGGCACATAAACTTCAGCTGACCTATGCTCTGCTGGAAGCTTCACCCTCTACAAAAGTGGTTGAGATACCAACGTATGTTTTTTTGCAGGTTGGCCGTCATATCACAGGTGGAGATATCTTTGGCGTTGTACATGAGAGTTCCCTTATTGAACATAAGTTAATGTTACCACCAAAAGCACTAGGAACTGTTACATGGATGGCTGAACCTGGAAATTATGACATCACAGTGAGTTCTATAATATATTCTATACCGTAATACATAAATAAATAAATAAACAATTAAAATTATATACATTTTTTAATATTATAATTTCATATATATTATATATCATAATTATATTAATTTTTAGTAATTATCTAAGAAATTAATATACATGTATTGTTAAAAGTCTAATTTTCGTACATCATTTACAGTTTTATCATTAGCCATCATCAATGCAAGATCATAAAATATGATTAATTTAATTCCGTTGAACATATAATGTGATGAGTGCGTTTGTTACTAGGATGTGATTCTAGAGACCGAATTTGATGGGGAGAAGACTGAGCACACAATGGTTCAAGTATGGCCGGTCCGTCAGCTGAGACCGGTAGCTGAGAAACTTGCTGCCAATCATCCGCTGCTCACTGGTCAGCGTGTACTGGACGCCCTCTTCCCGTAAGTTCTAATGCTTTTCATCTGTAAAAACCAAATTAAATTGAAATTCTGTTGTTTTTAAGACCTTCTTTTAGGGCATTTTTCCCAAACCAACTTCAGGGGTTTTAACTGACCATATTAATTTTGGTTATTAATATACTCTACAACTTTCACCTAGAAATAAAGAAGCTACCAGATATTGATGATTACTGAAGTATTTGTGTTAAAATTGTATGTAATTGTTTTGTAGATGTGTCCAAGGTGGAACGACTGCTATCCCAGGAGCCTTTGGATGTGGAAAGACCGTTATCTCACAGTCTCTGTCCAAGTACTCAAACAGTAATGTCATCATTTATGTGGGTTGTGGAGAAAGAGGAAATGAAATGTCAGAAGTACTTAAAGATTTCCCAGAGGTACTTATTCACTAAATTTCTTCCCTCAAGCTTTTAGCATTATTAATTTTTTATTTAAAAAGCATACAGCTATTGGCAGATTGGAAGCACATGATCAACATACTTATGAATAGTTTAAAGTTTGACAGACCTATAAATGATGGATGAAACTAAAAGGGATTATTAGACTGGTTCATTTCGTTGACTACGATTTTTCATTGAGTATTATTTTCATTTGACTGGTCGTAAAGTAGACTTTGTTGACAGTGAAAATTTTACATGTTCCAGAGTGCGTTAATCAGCGTTAAGTTATCCACGTGACCAAAACAAACATGGCTGATTGATCAGTTTAGCAATAACATTTGTGTTAATATAATTTAGATTAAATTTCAGAAAAAAAAAATATTTACCCACATAAAATTAAAAAATAATTGTAGGCTAACAGAATTCAAAAACTTGTTAAAAACATTTTTTTACGAAAAACGCATACTACCACAAGCTGAAGCAACATAGAATACGCAGCGTGTATCGCATTAGCTATGCAGCCATTTTGATTTTGTTGAGTATTTTACTAGTTTTCTATTCGACCGGTCGTCTCCATTGAGCAGGATTTTACCACTGTGCAGGTGGGCGAGGTTTAACGATGAATGACCATTCGAATACAGCCAATGTTTCTTCTCAACAATAGGACTGTGAAGACTGTTCCAAATCTTATAATTATATTTATGTATGTTTGTATATATGTTGTAAATCGATGTCAATCGTTGACACTTGGAACATAAAATTTTATTAAACAAATATTTCAAACACATTCCTCTGCGTTCCTCATCAGTGTTAGATGACTACTGAATAAAAATAGGCCTATCAACTTAACTAATATGTGCAAAATCGCACATATGTATCTTGTACATAAAATATATA